GCACGTTCTCTCTGACGTAATTGATGATTTCGGCGTCGTTCTTCTGATCTCATACGTTGTTCTTCTTTCTGTAACAAGGAGATTAAATGTAAGACAAACAGTATTTAGTCATATTTTAACTTACTCGAATCATCTCAATACTGTTTGCAATTGGTGTTTTAGGATTTGATAATACGCGAACTTTTGGTGCTGGATTCGCTTTACTAGCGAATTTTATTTTCAAATGTGAGTCAAATGAATCTTGCGAATGATGTCTGAGCGAAAAGGAAAAGAAAAATAGCAGTAAAAAAGTCAGTAGTTTATTATTCTAATTACCTGAATGATAATTTTGTTCTAAATACTGCTTGTCCTTGCATACTTTTTTGATGTCGAACAAATAAATGATTGTGATCACCTTCAATGTTTGTTTTATATACATCAAATATTTCATTGCCTAAATGTAATGATAAGCTAAAACGAAAAACAAATAATTAGCTAAAACTTAATGACAATTATCAAAATATTACCTTCCATCTGACCATCGAACAAGTCTTGTATTACTTTCACGTGTCAGTTCTCCATTTTCATTTGTATTAAAACGCCATCTTATCGTATTCTCGAGCTAAAACGCAATTAGTCAATCACTTGTTAAGTATTCATTTCTTATTGCTCACTTAAACATACTTTTAATTTTAGTCGAGCTTTATTTTCTTCATCATCATCGTCTCGAATTTCTTCATTAAAATACTGTGGATCAAACGGTCTAAAATTTAAAGGAAAAATAAATCAGATTCTCCATCATATTTTTGAATAAAGTCATTTACATACCTAGGTTCAACATTCATAAAACTTGGTAATTTAACTAGATGTATTTCGCGACCAAGGTCACACGTTATCGCTGGTGTATCAACAATCACTTGTTCTTCTTCGTCCTTTTCTTCTGCAAGTTCATCTTCATCCCCTAATATATCATCCGTAAGCAAATTACCATTCGTTTGATCCTGTCGTAGATAAAAAGCAACATACATAACAGGAAAACAAAGTACGAGTATAAAATACTTGTGAAGCATCAACACGTTGTTTTTTTCGCCGAACACCACCTTCATCTTCACTTAAATCATCCAAATCATCACCAAACACATCTTCTTGAGTAAGATTTTGAGCTATTAGAAATGAACGAAGGTTAAAACATTTTTTTCAAATAAATAACTCCTGCCTATGGGAGTAAGTGATAGATATTACATTACCTGCCTCCAGTCCCGCTTCTAATGAATCCTCGTCTAACGGATTAGCCAAATCGACATCTGAAAATAAAATAAAACTATTTATTAAGAATTCTGCCTTTATCTTTCAATAAATAAATACCATGCTCTTTCTTCTCTTCCTGATCATCTGGTTGCTGTTCTTCATCAATTTCTTCCTCATCCTCTTCATCTTCATTTTTGTCATCTGTAAAATAAAACTAATGTGACTATTTATATCAAAATATTTATAATATTTAATAAACACCTTCTTGTTCATTTTCCGAATGTTGTATTTCTTCGGTTTCATCTTCGTTGTCACCTTCAATAGTTTGTTCGATTTCTTGGGTGTCATCTTCGTTTAATTCCTCATCAATTTCAGCTTGTTCGAGATCATCTTCTACAAAATTTGCAAATATTTTTAAATCGAACAAAATGAAACAAAGTTTTACTTACGTTGTTCATCATCGGAGCCATCTACACTACTCATAGCTAATTTTAATTACAAGAAAGAAAAACTCTGAAATAAAAAGAAAAGGATCCTCTAATTACACCCGAGTTATAATATTTTTATTTCTCCGTGATAGAATATAACATTAACAAAAGATAAAATTCAGCAAAGAAACTCATTGATTTTCTTTTTGAGACTAATGTTTCCATATTAATTTAGTTTTCGATAGTTTCGATTTAGTTTCGTTTCTGTTCTCAGACAGATAAGCCAATATAAAACAAAGCGAAAATTTTAAGTAGCTAAAAAATGCTCTCAGATTTGTGTTTGTTTTGATGGTGAGACTGATGAATGTCAGTGTAGAAAATGTTTACTCATTATTCATGACTTTAATAGAAAAAAAAGCGAAAAAAAACGGTGTACAAAAGAAAGAACGAAGAAAAAATAACCAACAACAATCAGTTAAACTGTCTCTTTAGTTTAAATGGATAATCAAAACGAAACATATTGCGCATGTACGACAAATGGAAAAAAATAGACACACATAAACATGCAAATAGATGATTGCACTCGAACAAGAGAAAAAAAAGAAACAAAACAAGATCTTCACTGTTTGTTTGTTGGTTGGTTGGTTGGTTTATTATTTTAAATAGGAAGAACTAATTCCAAAAACAAGACACTTGCCTTACAACTAACTATATGATAATAAAATGTACATAATTCTAGATCGAAAAATGCATAAAAATGTATGTTACTAGAATATGTACCATACTCATCAATACCAGTATCCCAAATCAACAAGGCAGCCGAAATATAACAAAAAGAAAAACTTTATCAAAGAGCCGAAAAAAATGTGCTTAATAATGAAATGTTAATTGTATTTGACTTCACAGGCTTTTCATGCCTCTTATAATATACAACATTTTTTATGTGTTTTGCTCGATTTATTAACTGGTCTTGCACCGCTTGGTTGTGGACCAGGACGTTGAGCTGATTGACGTTTTATTGGACGAACAGTGAGCATTAGTTCAGAAAAAA